TCAGCGGTCCTCGTCCGGTCCAGTCAATGACCCGGCGGCCCCCGTCTATCTGTTCAATGACCCGACGGTGCCCGCCCTGCCTGACCAATGACCCGGCGGCCCCCGTCCTGTCTGGTCAACGACCCGGCGGGCTCTGTTTGGTTTGGTCGACAACCGGGCAGTCCCGTCAACGACCCGGCGATCCTTGTTCGGGCGGTCAATGACGGGATAGTTCAGTCTCCTTTTTTGAAATCATTTTTTAAAGTGAAGAGTTTTAAAAGAGTCGTTGATTTGTCAATCAACATGGAAAGAGGAAAAGAATTAGTCAAACTAACCATTGAGATCGATTGGGGTCGGCTGGTTTCAGTCTCGACTTTCCTATATGTGGGACCTGATACCCTACTTTTGTTGTACTAGATTCAATTCCAGGTCGGGACTGTACTTTCGATCTTCTAGTCAGTCAAAGAACTAAGTGAACTTTTTTGATGAATATGTTTTCAGATTCAAAAATGGAAAACTAAAAAATGAAAACAAAAAATTAGAGATAGAAAAATTGTAAAATGAAAATAGAAAATTGGAGAATGCAAAAAAACAAAATTGGACAATATTTTTGTTAGTAAACATACCCTTACTGTTTTGTTTTGTATTTATATTAGGAGTATTTCTGGTCACATATAATTAGTCTCATCTTGTCTAAATTAAAAACTAATATTATTTCTATCAAAGTAAAGCCACTAGCATTATTTTCATCATTTTTTATTATCTTACCATCCTGTACATAATAATTATTACCCGTATTTTTTAGGAAACATTGTCAAATAAGCCCTTATACTATATCAAAAAAATAATTAAGCCCTCGAACTAAAAAAACACCCAATAAAGTCCACCAACTGTAGAAAAACAATCAAATTTGTAATCTAGTAGCTAATTATTTGGTCATCTGATTATGTTATTGATGTGGCGATCTATATATTTTATTTGAATTTTTCTTTTTGTTTTTTTCTTTATTTTTTCTTTGTCTTTGACCATTTTTTTCTTCCGTCTGATTCATGTCTTCTTCTTCATTCTTTCTCCCACCCTCATGTACATATGAACCATTGCTTCTTGAATTTTCTTTCTTTCTTTTTCTCCTTTCTCTTGACTCTTCTTCCCACTTGAACTTCTCCCCCCTTTGCTTCAATCTATCACATTGTGCTTAAAGTGAGGAACTCTGGCGATTATGGCGGTTTGGGCGGCATAGATCTTCACCTATCCGTTGCCACATCATTGGTGCGGTGGTGCCGGACACTGCTGGTCTTCATCGATGACGACAAGAATTAGGAGGCTTGACTGACAAGTTAAAGAATCCGACGTAAGTCTCGTACACCTCCGGCGAGGATGGCAACTTGGCTGAAAAGTTTTGAATTTCCGTGTACATCTTGAACATCTTCGAGGAGGATAACGTCTTGGGGCTGAGGTTCTCTAAATTCCGGTGAACGTTGCACCCCATGCTTGACCAATGATGGCAGTTGAGTGAGTTGACCGACGAGGCAACGAGTTCAAAATCCGGCATACAGATTCTACATCTTCCGGCATGTTATGCTCATGCTTGGGCGACGACTTTGCAGACTCAGAGGAAATGAGGAAGAAGATAAAAGAAAGGAAAAAAGAAGGGAATTGATGGAGAAAGAAGTATGGGAAGAGAAACGGCGGAAGAGCGGAAGAACGTAGCAGGAGATGAAAACAAAAAAAAAGGAATGGAAAAATAAACAAGAATGGCCACGTCACTTGAGTAACCGGCTAACCGGACTCTGACCTCCTAGATTACAAATTGAAGAATGACCGAAACAATACTATAGAGTATTGTAAAGACAAATATAGGACCACGTTTAAATTTGGACAAAAAAGAGAGCTATTTCAAATGATAATCCAAAATTACCCCCAACCTCCTTCACCCACTCTCCCTATCCGCAATTCCCCCTCACACAACATCCTTCCATCTCTCTATGCGCTAGAACCTGCTGGTCCATCCCGCCCCCAACCACTGCCGGTGCATCTAGCATCATGGCCGCCAACAACTGAAAAATCACATGCGCAGGAATGAAAAATAAACTCATTAGTTTATTGAAAGAGTTGATTCATCTGCACAATTCATAATGCACCTCTGTTTATTTACAAATGCAGCTAATCATTTGCTAGTAGTTGGCGCATGGCTAGGGAAATATAATTATCAAGAGGAGTCATGTATGCATGCAACAACTATTTACGTATACACTAAAAATGTTACAATAATAATAAAACGTAACAATTAATATTGACAACAAATATCAACACCCTCCCCCTCAAAATGGAGCATGGGGATCAAGAATGCCCATCTTGGTAAGTAAATAAGAGGATTGACGTGCACCGAAGGCCTTGGTGAAAAGATCAACAACTTGCTCCGTGGTGGTTTTGTAGAGAGGAGTGAGTGTCCGTGCTTAAATATGATCCCGAATAAAGTGACAGTCCAGATCAATATGTTTGGTCCGTTCATGGAACACGGGATTAGAGGCAATGTGAATAGTGGCATTATTGTCACAATAAACCGGGATGGCCGAATGATGAACAACACTGAGAGAGAGCAAGAGATTTTTAAGCCAAATTAATTCACATGCAAGGGTTGCCATTGAGTGCTATTCTGCTTTGGCGGACGAACGTGATACAATGACCTGCTTTTTGTATGCCAAGCAATAGGGGACCCTCTGAGCATGACCAAATATCCAGTGACTGACCGTCGAGTAAGTGGGCAGCTGGCCCAATCAGAATCACAGAAACCAGTCAGCGAAACTGGAAAATCAGAACGGAGTAAAATGCCCTGCCCCAGATGACCTTTAAGATAACGAAGTACACGAATAACAGCATCCCAGCGAGCTATCCGCGGCTGATGCATGAACTGGGAGTCTGGGAAATGATATGAACAAAGTAGCTTATATCCGGACGAGTGAGGGTAAGATAAATTAATTTGCCAACTAACCGCGGGTAACGTTCTGGATCGGAATATAATGGTCCTTTATCACTCTGCAAGCCATGATTCTGTATCATAGGAAAATCAACCGGTTTTGCTCCAAGTAGACCTGTCTCAGCTAGAATATCCAAAACATGCTTTCTCTGACACAAGAATATACCAATAGAATTCCTACCACATCTATTCCCACGAAATATTTCATGCGTCCCAAGTCTTTAACAGGAAAAGATTTAGCTAAATACGACTTAAAATCATCAATCATGGAATGATCGTTGCCGGTAATGAGCAAGCATCAACGTATACAAGCACACACAAAATATGGTGATCACGTCACAATGTGAATAGAGAATAATCAGCATGTGATTGTTTAAAACCATAAAGTCGCAGTGAACTGGTTAGCTTAGAGAACGAGCAACGCGAAGCCTATCGCAGGCCATATAGAGAACGCTGCAAATGACATACCTGTCCTGGATGAGGCGCTGAATATCCCGGTGGTAAATGCATATATACCTCCTCATGGAGGCCCCCGTGTAGAAATGCATTATCCACGCCCGTCTGATGCAACTCCCAATTCCGTGAAGCTGCAACTGCCAATATGGTGCGTACTGTTACCATTTTGGCAACGGGTGCTAATGTCTCAGAGTAATCAATTTCGTGAACTTGACGATTATCGCACACCACCAAACACGTCTTGTAACGGTTAATAGTACCGTCAGATTTGTATTTAATTTTAAACACCCATTTACAAAAAATGGCTTTCTTACCAGGTGGTAGCGGTTCAAGTTTCCACGTTCCCGTCTTCTCTAATGCATGAATCTCACGCTGCATCGCCTCTCTCCATTGTGGATCTTTTACCGCCTCTTGAAAAGAACCGGGCTCCTTATTAGCTGCAATAGCTGCAAGAAAAGCACGATACTCGACCGAAAAAACGATTATATGTTAATACTGCTTACCCGATTCAAACGTCAGAAGGAGTATTTATTTTCACTGTATTGAGTTGTACCGTATAATCCTTATGCCAAGCTGGAGGACGGCGCTGACGTTTACTGGGCAGAAGTGGTTGTTGACCAGTGTTGACGGTGGCTTCCAAGGAACTTGCTGGAGGATCAGTCACTTCTGTTGTGCTTGAAGGAGGTACAGTTCCATGCGCAACACGTGTAGAACTCTTCTGGGATGACTCATGAGAATCTTTGTCATGTGGATGCCCACCATCCCCATAATGATTTGGATTTGAAAATGAGCCAAGTCTCATTAGTTCGTCATCATAATTTTCAAAGTGATGGGACCGTACCCATGCAGTATTATCCTCATGCAGTAGTTTAGAACCTCCAGATTCCTCCTTATGACGGACAGATTCATCATCGGCAAAAGGGAATACAGTTTCAACAAAATGAACATCACGAGATATAAAATAATGTTGAGTTTCCAAGTCAAAAAACGTCCATCCCTTATGTGAGTAAGCATAACCCAAAAAAACACATTTGAGACCTCGAGGAGCAAATTTATCTCCACTGCTCTCCTTATTGTGTGCATAACACGGGCAACCAAAAACTTTTAGTTGATCATAGGCAGATAATTTATGATACAATAATTCATAAGGACTTTTATTATCAATGACCGGAGATGGTAACCTATTTATCAAATAACCTGCTGTCAATACACATTCTCCCCAAAACTGAATCGGTAAATGTGCATGAAATCGAAGTGTGCGTGACATATCCAAAAATGCCTATGTTTTTTTCTACTCTCCCGTTCTAATGTGGTGTATAAACACAAGATGTTTGGAAAATTATCTCATTAGCCAAAAAATATTCTTTCAGACTAAGAAACTCTAGGCCGTTATCACTTCTGACAACCTTCACTTGTTTATTAAATTGGCGACTAGTCATTGCAAAAAATGTTTAAGAACATTTTTCACCTCTCCTTTTTCACAAAGCAAATGAACCTAGACAGCTCGTGAAAAATCATCTACAATAGTTAAAAAATATCTGGCACCACAGGAAGCAGGAGTTCGATAAAGACCCCAAATATCACAGTT